ACAAGGTTGGATCGAGCCCCTTCCAGCATTTGACGTATCTCACGCTCCACGAACGATTTGCTGGAGTCCACACACTCTATTGATGTCTGATGCCTATAGCCAAGTTCCTTGATAGCGGCTTTCAATTCCCGACTACTATCCGTGTAAATCACCTCAACATCATCCTTTCCATTGACGAAATGGTTGATGGCGAAAGTACAATCTTCGGCAAATCGAGATTGGCTCGGGTACACGTATCGGAACTGCGTATGGATATCTTTGATAACCAACGCGACCTTCTCACCTTTCATGCCTTCTTCCACGTTTGCTTTAATGAGCACGTGATCGGCAATGACATGGTCTCCGAACCGAGTTGTATCAACCCTTGCTTGCCCGCCTTTGGACCTGGCATAAGGTGCTAGCATGCGTGCCCTTTGACACGTTCGACAGAATGGGTTCTTGGGGAAGTGAAGAAAATGGTGCTTGGACGACTGGGCTTCGACGATGAGGTCAGCTGACTTTCTGCTCCTCACCGCTACCACTTCTTCATCCCTAATGGGCTTGGAAACACCGGGCAAAGCTAAAAGCTTGCGAACCTTGGCTGGCTTGAAGGACCTTGTGCTGACAACTGGACATGAATCATCCAAAATGGGAACATGACCGTCAACTTTCAGGACGACTGCTTTTCCATCAGGACGGACAAGGAATGGTGCAGACCCTGCCGGCCAGACAAAGCTGTATCCCTGGTCCATACATCTTGTACCAACCGAAAGGACCGACGGTGTTTGCTCTAGTATATATGGAGTGATGGACCCTGGCAACGTGTTGAGGTCAATCTCGGCCACTGCATTGGACTCTGTTGAACCATTTGCCGTGATGAAGCTGATCGGATGATCCGCGCTGCGTCTATTGTAGGCTCCGACTTGGGACAGCATGGAATCACTGATCAGGTCCTGCTCACTTCCAGAGTCAATAAGCCATATTGATGGCGACCTTTTGGCGCGGGCGCGGCGACGGTTGGTGGCATCAACACAATGTGGGTCTTGCATGGTGTTAGCAGGTTCCTACAACACTTGCAAGTCAGACTCTCTAGGTCATCTACACACTTGAAACCACATGATGGTTGAACCGAATTTTCGAACTGCTTCACAGTCTCTTGCAGCTTTCTTGCTGCCGTTTTGGCATTCAACACATGAATTGGATCCGCTTTCTTTGCTGCTTTGGCAGTTGTGAGGGCTTCATCGTATCTCCTATAGGACCATGGACGACTGGGTTGCATCGGCCGCGAGCATTGATTCTCTTCGCCCCTACTCTTTTATCGAAGGTGACTCGTTTCTCTGCGCTGCCCGTTCTTTTCTTGGGCTACGATCCGAACCGAGCTTGCGGCAGCGGCGCTGCATGCATAGCTTGATCGAACACAAGGAGCAGCCGACTTTTTCGGCTTCGGTTCCTTCTTGGGCTTCGGAGAGTTTGGCCGAGCTGGATCCTTGGGAGCGGCTGCACCTTTCTTTTCATGCAGGTACAGGCACTTATCCCCACGGCGGCAGTCTCCTCGTGCAAAATAGATGCATGGAGTCTTAGCCATCTCCTCTTTGTTGAGCTTCTTCTTTGGATCACGACTGGACGTGCGGGGTGTCCTCTGCCTAGAGGGCGACCTGTCCTTCTTGTCATGACGATACGGGCACTCTTTTCCCTTGGCACACTTCCCTTTCATGAAGTCTCTACATGGGATCTTCTTTTTGTCGGGAGTTCTTCCCCTTGGGGGTGTTTTCTCCCTCTTTGCAGGGGGCACCACGGGTAGTCCGGCCCGATCTTTGGGGTTGTTCGGCTTTGGTTGATTCTTACCGACGATACGATCTCGATTCTCCCTAAGCCTTTCACGATCGATCAGGTCTCGGATGGCCTTCACGAGAAACGAATACGTCTTGCTAGGGTCACCCTCCTTTGCCCGATCATAGGTGTCAATGTCATACTTGAGTAGCGTGCTAGGACGGATTTGACGGAGCAAAACATCGCGAAGGACTGTTTCCTCAGGCTCCTTCTTCATACCGGCTAACACAGCATCCCAACGATTGATAAATTTCTTGAGGTCAGCAATGGTATCCCCGAACTTCGCTACCTTCAAGAGGTCTTCTAGTGAGTAGAGAGTACCAGCTTCCTCAGATGTTTTGAAGTAGTCATCAAACATAAGAAGTGCTGTGCGACCCCTGGTCTGATGTCCCTTCTTTGCTTGCTCCTCCTTGTGGTTAAGGATTCTATTTCCCAGATCACCACGGGCTGACTTTGTGAGAGCAGCGGTGAGCTTCGTGTCTAAGGTCACGAACTTGCCTGGATTCTGGAGCTTTGCCTCGAGTTCAGCACGGGAGAGTTTTGGATCCCAAACTTCCATAATCCACTCCCATGCTTCGTCGGGTTTGTCGGACGATGATCGAACAAGCTCACGAACGAGGTTCTTCCATTGTCGATACGTCTCGGGCGTTGGCATGTCCGGTATGGCAATTGCATCGGCTTCTTTAACCCTTGGTTTGCCTTCATCATCTTTCTTGGACTTCATTTCCTTAAGTAGTTCTGCAAGACCACTCCTCAGCGCATTAGTTTCACCCGAAGAGGCCGGGACTTTGCCATCGACTCCTCCGTCGCCCACGTTGGACGTTCGCTCATCGGCAGTTTCGCGTGCATCGACGAAATGCTCATCCTTTCCATGGGCAGGCTCTAACGCTGTGGGATGTGGCAATGCTGCAGGTGCTCGCGATGGGTAGAAGTCACTGAGTTTCTGAGCGAACCTTGCATCCAGCCTCGCCTTCCAATCAATCTCCGTTGCTTGGGGCAAGGTCTCACGGCCTGCTGGCTCGGATATCACAGGGGTAGCCGAACCTGGCAGGTGCTGCGGTGCTTCAGCCTCATGTGCTGGAATCATCCCATCGAGCTGATCTTGGAGGAGTGGGTTAGTCTCTGATGCCTTTCGCAGTTCCTCTTCAAGATGTTCCTTTCTTTCAGTCCACTCGGTCTCCATGATTTGGTGCTGCCTGCGTTCTTCTTCAAGGTGTTAGAGGCGTCCTCCACCATCTTGTCAAACATCTTTTCCAGCTCACTCATCTTTTCGTTCATCTTCTGCAAAGGAAGCTTCTCTGCTTCTGCCTTCTGTTCCGACATCCTCTTTTGATGTACAGTAGGCTGTCTGCGCTGGCAACTTTGGCCTGACTCTCAGCCAGCTGCCTTTCCAACAAGTTGATCCGACCCTGCATAGCCAGGACTTGCTTGTCGCACACTTCCCTCATCTGATCGATGGCAACTCTACATTGCGAACCTAAGGCTTGAATAGTAGAGTGCATGATCTCTCGATGCCTTTGTTCCGCCTCATAGCGGACAGCTTCTTCGTTTCCCGAAGCGATCTGATGAACATTGTTCTGAATAAACTGAAAGTATGCTGTGACGCCTTCAGGTCCCATGACGACATCCTCGGGCACGAGGTTGCCCCCGGCGGCCGGTACGGTATCGCCAGAGTATGGGATGAGGGCGAGCGCGGCATTCACACCATCATCTGTAGCCATGGCAGAGGCTACGGCTGATAACCTGTATTTTCAGGCTCAACCACTAAAATACAATCAAATTCCGCTAAGCTGCAACTGCTAGCGCTCCTTTTTGTCGCGATGAGCTGCGTGCTTGAGCCAAGAATTGGCACAGTGCGTAAAAGCATTGCATTAGGTGATGTATTTCAACATGTATTAAATATTGTTTTTGTATGACTATGATTATGTGACTATGTGATAAATATATATATATATTTATTTATATATTAATATATACCGTATATATGGTTTATATATAATATGTGGATGGATGATTCGATGTTTTGATGTCAGGATTTGATGTCTTAACAAGTTCCTCACGTGCTTTGATGTCATCCCATGTTGGGATGATACCCAATCCAATTTCCAAGTTCAAACAACATGTGCCATTGGTGAAGACGTGTCATGAACTGCCTTCTCAAGAGGCGAGAGGGTTGCTTCTTCAGTCATCATCTAGTGCTGCTAATCCAAGGAACCATACGTTTCATTATTATCTTACGGCTTGCCAATCAATAGAGTGCGCTTGGACACATCAACTACTGCAAAATCATGCAGCTCACCTGTCCCTTGTGTCTGAGTGTTTGAGCCACATCATTCATCCCTAAGTCCAAGTATCATTGAGAGGTCCTGTGTCGACTCATTGAGAGGTCCTTCCCAACTCACCTTGTCAAGTACAGCAAAAGGAAGCAACAATTCCATCCAATTCCGCTGTCCAACCAAACATCCACATCAACATCAGTCGGGAAGCATCTTGACATGCATGATCTCCGCAAGATCACCACCACCACACGTTCGCCCATACACATCATACACAAACCCTTCCGGCTTTCCAACCCTCGGCTGAAGCAATTCTGCCAAGCCACAATCCCACAAGACAAGACCTGACGACCGGGTCACGCTCGGACGACCCCGACACTCGGACCGGGTCCGTTCGGCGACACTCGGCACGAGCAGGTCGCGAAGAACACACGACTGGCACCTGCCAGTGTGAAGAAAGAGGAGCCACAAGTGGGTGGCAAGCCACCAGCCTGTCAATGTGGTTCTGAATCCGGCAAGCTTGCACCAATCCGTAATGATCCGATGTCTTATGCACACCAATATATCCTTGAGTCACTTCCAACAAATCGACCTCATGGATTCTACAAGTCCAACGACTGCTGCGGACGTCACACATTTCACCGGTCCAACGACTCTAGACCGGTCTAGGCACCGCGTGCCTCTGAAGTCCAAATTGAACCTGGAAGTGCCAAACGTGACCAGTTCTGAGTCGAAGCATTGCATGGCTTGTTTGGTGGAAGAACATGCTCAGATTGGGCGGTGCGAGATGCAGGTGCAGGCTTCGTGTGGGGTAACCACTTATATATCTGACCCTACAAGTACGTGCATGAGGAAATACCAGGATCTTCCAACTATATGCAGAATTTTCGCCCAAAAGGCTGTAATTTTGCCTTCTTGGAAGATCCAGGTATGGGGAAACACTGCAGTGTTTGGAAAGTAAAGACCGAAACCAAAGAGGTCTGTTTCTCCCACGTCGCTGGCTCAGCAAGTATTGACCGCATGCTTCGGAGAGATTTGGCACAATTGCCGCCAGATTGGATGCTGTTGGATCAGCCTTCTCACAAGCACCGACTGCAGCGCAATATGACAAGAGGCTCATCCGACTTGCCTTAGATTCAAGCTCTCCAAAGAGCTCCAAGGCCTCTTTCCACTGGGTGCTGCCCGAGCATGCATCTATGGCAACATCACACAGTGTCAGACCCACACGCATATGGTGAAACGATCTCCAGAGTGCCAGGACCTGTGACCATCGCTGGGTCTTGGCCGCCACATCCATGGCGGCCGAGAGAGCCACCCAGTCGGAGTTCGACTTGAAACACTGCATCGCTTCGATCCAACGACGCCCTCGAACATAGGCTTGCATGAGCGATGTGAGGCTCACTTGGTTGGGCTGGAGGTCTCGCCGTTGAAGCTCGGAATGGAGAAGCACAGCTCGTTCCCATTGCGTGCCACTCACACAAGCACTGATGGCAGAACTGTAGGTGATCAAATTCGCGGAGTGCTGGGTCCTTAAGTCTGCTGTGTATGCAACGGAGTCACAAAACAAAGGGCATCGCTACTAGGAGCAAGGATGCTACTAGGGGCTGAGGCGACCTGCTTCTTTTCTCCCCTGCTGGGCACCACAGGAAACGGCACCATACAAATCAAACACATATTGTAAGTAATTATAGGATTATGTAATTACATTATAATATATATATTATATATATATATATCAGATATCATATGCATACTTTGTGTGACATTCAAAATGATAAATTGAGATAATTGAGTTGACATCACCTGCTCAGCCAAGCACAGGGTCGACTCCAAAAGCACCAAGGCAACCTGCCACTGCTCGGCCTTCTCACAAACGCTGATGGCCGCTGTGTGAACCACCACATTGCTCTGCATCGACCGCTTCTCCATGTCACGCAACAAGCCAATGGCCGTCCTGCAGGCCAACCCCGTGCGTCGGAATCACACCGCTGGTACTTTGCAGATTACGAATCGTCCTTTCTATCATATTCTGACATTCCCGACTAGCAATCTCCACACGTATCGACATGGTTCACATTCGATGAAAATCACTCTCAATGATCCACACTCCAAACCCACCGCCCAGTTTCCCCATCATTCGATCATGTTTCCCCATCATTATCATCATTCGATCCTCCACTGGTCCGCCGGAAGGCTTGCCACCGCCGTGCCGTAGCTGACCACCGAGGCGCCGGAGCTTCCCAGGAGCGGCGTCAGCAGCTCCAGGGCCCCGCGCCAGCGCGCTGAAGCGGCGCGGGCGGCGGCGTTGAGGGTGATGCGGGTGGGACGGAGACGCTTCGTCTGGAGGCTTTGGAGGAGGAGCAAGCAGCAAGACCAGTGGAAAGGATGGAAAGGATGGGAGGGATGAGAGATGTGGGAGGTGTGAGAGATGATGGTGTTGTAGGAGATGATGTCGACATCTTTGGAGAGAAGTTGGCAAGCCTTGGGCCATTGTTGTCCTTTCTCAAAGGCTAAGATCAGGATGTTGCGAGTGCTGCAGCTCTGCGTGGCTCGCTGATAGACCGCTTTCAGCAACTCAAGGGCCAGGCCCCACTCTTTGGCTTTCGCACAGCTACTACTGGCAGAATCCCAATCACGCACCTGTTGTGATCCTTGCAAAACACAAAGCGCTTGCTTCCAGTTCGCTGGAAAAGCAGCAACCCGCTGGGTGGAGGAAGCATCCATGCAAATTCCGAGGCCTTTGAAGTTTGCTGGAGCCAGTGGACGTCATGAAGAGCTGAATTCTATCCGCCCGAAACCGGTTTTCAACATTGGGAGGCCATCGCTATTAGGTTGGAGGTCATTACTTATAGTAGTAGCAAGAAGCTATATACTAGGTTGGAGGCCATCGCTCTTAGATGCTATTAGGGTTGGAGGCCATTTCTATCCACGTCGCCTTCGCCTCTTCCCAGCCCTTTCCGGAACCAGGTCTGAGGTCTCCGGCCATGGAAATGGCCTGACCAGCACACACCCGGCGACCCCAGGAGGGTCGGCAGAACAAAAGACGAAGGAACACCCGTCGTCACCTGTCGAGAGGAAAGGCTCTTCCATGGTCAGGATCTGGCCGATACCGGTGTTGCCAATGCTCCGCCCTCCGCCGTGCTCCGCCGTGCTCCGCCCTCCGGATGTCCTAGCCCGGCCTTGCTTCAAGGGCTGTAGGTAGACAACAAAAACCATCAAGATGCTGCAGGAGACGATAAAGGCCTTTGGATTGGCACATCCACCCCCTCGTCGCTGATCGTGGATGTGTTACTAAACGCCTTGTCATCGCTGATCACATCAAGTCCGCCCAAAACGATAAAATATGGTTTTGACTAAGGGAAATCTGTGCAGTCAAAATGGTATATGGATGACCAAGATTTGTTGATATCCACATCCAAATTCCAAAGATCAACATTTGTATTTGAGCTACACTCACTCACTCACTCGCTCGCTCGCTCGCTCCCTCCGTCCCTCCCTCCCTCCCTCACTGCTCCACGAAAGCAAGACTCTGTGCCAGCCATGTCTGTCCCCAATCCCATGTAGACCCAGACTACGACTCCGAGACAAAACACATAAGGATACCTCGCAGCTATGCTGGTGGAGTAGCTGCTAGCTGCTTCTTCAAGCAGAAATGACCCGCATGGGGAAAAAGGCTCCAATTGCCAAAATGATCCAATACGAGGGTCATTGAGGGTCCATAGCATGGAGATTTACTGCTGCTGAGGAGACAGTACCAATCTCCTATGTTGCTCTAGCTTCCGAGCTTGAACAAGACCTGAGTGTTCTTTACTGCGATACGCTGCTGAAACCAACAACCAAGAAGTATGTATATAGCATGAAACAGCATGAAAGAACTTGATTGATCCTCACAGCCCATCTTTATCTCTCCTTCCAGGTAAAAATCTGAGGTGTCGGGCTGTGATGGGTATTGCAGGCCATGCTGGATTCCAAGCCTCAGCCATTTCACTCCAAAAAGCTTCCCTAGGCCGCCTGACTCCGCTAAACTTGGAGGATGCCGGTGCTGAAGGACTTGGCCAACATACAAGACCTCACGAAACCAAGGATGATACAAAGTACCAGTTGTTTCTGAGCGTGCTTGCTCCAGCAGCGCCGCAAAGCAACAGATCCCTGGCGGCAGCAAGCATCACTGATTCACCGGATATAGTCTAAGCTCCAAACCAATCAGTCTAATATAGTCTATTGTTAGTATGTCTATGGATGAATATCAGTCTATGGTAGTTTCTATATGGTTGGTATATGGTATGTCGGGTCATACGGTCTGATTGATTTTGACTATTGACTATTGGTGAGGGGCCACCTCAAGCTACATAGGCTGCAAATGTTCTTCTTGTTCCATGCTCCAAGTCGTGACACAAACCGTGGTGATCCATGTTTAACAATCATGACTCTCTTACCATAATCTTTGAATCTCTCAACGATCAGCACCATAACTGCAATGTCTTGCGCAAAGCTTTGATGTCGTTGTTAGATCACACATTCTGCATGTTGGAACATGAGTAGTTCATGGGCATAATTCATTCATGAGTAGATAAGACCCCAAAGGCCGAACCAAAACCATCACAAAGTTCGGTTTTGCCACACCAGACTTTACAAATGCATGCCACATGCGGACTGACCTCGCACGGAGGGAGCCTCGTCGTATCTGTCGATGCACAAAGTTGAATCTGAAAGCCATTGCACCTGAAAAAGCTTGGCCGGAGAAAGGTCAGGTTGGAGGCCATCGCTAGTAGGTTGGAGGGCATCGGTAGTAGGTTGGAGGCCATCGGTAGTAGGTTGGAGCCATTGACGGTTCTGACGCCAATCCGAAAGCCAGGTTGGGTCGTCCCCGTTGGCCCTGTTTTGGAGGAGGAAGCTGCTACTTGGGAGATCAAGCAGCTTGCGGCAAGCAGTTTACCTACGAACCCCTGGAATCCGTGCAGAAACCCTGCAAACTAGGCCGATGCCAATGTTGGAGGGCAGCTGGCGTGATTTTCTGTCTAGATCAGATGCAAAGCCTTGCAAAAAGCTCAATGCTCAGGACATGTCAGAAAACTATAGAAAACTATATAAGATTCCTCATGATTCCTCTGAAAAGTGGTGAACGTCCTTTCCACTTCAAGTGTTTCTTGGACCAACCCATTCACCTTGCTGTGACTGGGGCGATCTCTCCGAGACTGGCACACCCAGTTAAGTGCCAGGAAGATCGTGGCGACGAACTGGCAAGCCCTGGGCGCCGCGAGGCCAACGCGAGGCGATACAGCAACAAAAGTTGGTGAAAAGGGACGAAAGCATCGGCACCTCTGGAGAATCGACTATACAACAAGGGTTTGAATATGGCATGTATGTTTAAGTTTGAATCTTGGCAAGTGTGAGACGCCCTCTTCAGGCTGAAGACCAGTGAATGTCCTTGATTTCCAGTTGGCTGTGGGAAAAGATGGAAAAAGGACAACCATCGTTTCTGGTGAACATCTGCCGTATCCTGCTGTGGACCCCCTGGTGGACTTCGCAGAAATAAAATAAACAAGGTGCGCTCCCACTTTCAGACCGTTTCGCGCCCTCCACCCGGCCGCCCGAGAAACTTTTGCCGAAACGAAATCTTCAGGCTCGGACGGTAACATGTGGATGTACATGAGGCGGCCAGCCATCCTCATGGGTGCAAGGATTACATAAGGATTGTAAACCGGAAGAGTGGTTAGAACTTAAAAGCACAAGCAATTTTGCATCCGGACCATTGATGGGAACACCAAAATAACTTGACTGCTGGGGAGGGTGGGAGGGTGAGTGCATGGTGTGTTGTTGGTCCATCCAACAAAACCCTAAAGACATTGAATTATGAGCAAGTGTTTCAGACTGCATCCCATGATTCTCCATGGTTCTCCACACCCACTTCGCAGAATCATTGCTTCACCGGTTGAATCCTCAGCGCCTCCTGTTACACCCCCCCCGAAGAAACCTCGCCACAGAGAAGCTGAAGGACCATGTCCACCTCAGGTTTGGATGCGAAGTGGTCGAGCGCTTTCGTCCTTTCGTCATTTGCAAACCACTGTGAAACGCCAACAGATATAATATCCGTTGACCATTTGACCGCTGTTGACTTGGAGTGTTATGTGTTTGTTTCATTCAGATATATAAATCAAAAATTGCCATACGTAGAGGGTAAAAGGATCAGTATTTCAATAGGTGGTGTATGGAGTACAAACAAAGCTATCTGTGTATTGTGGCACAAGCACTGAACTTCCGGAAAGCCAAATGGGGACCACGGTGGGACTTGGAATCTTTTCAATGAATAAGACTAGGATGTACGGATGTGCCTTTCGCGTCTTGAAACGTCACCACGCACATTCAGTTAGGACCAGTTAGGACTTCCAGTATCATTCTTTCCAGTCTTCAAGGGTTCACAGATCAACATCTGTGACAAAATGCATAATAATATGATAACTGGTTGATGTTCTTTTGGATGACAGTCTTGGATTGAATGAAACACCCAACATAATTATATATACAGTAATAGTATATGATGCGTACTGCAAGTCGATTGATTCCCTGGGATGCTGAAGTTGTCTGCTTCGGCTAGCCCACCAGTGGGGCCAAGCAGCGAAGACAAAGGCAGCTGTCGCACAGCATCCATTGCAGAGAGGACCTCAAGCCGTGTGCCGTCGTGCCTTGTGGAGATCCTTCAGAATTCGGAAGAATCACCAACCAGGCAACAACCGATTTGCCGGGGATCGCTGAGCATTTGTTCTATTTTCCAGGTCTGGTCACCAGCTGTCCCCAAGAAGCGGGTACTCCGAGATCCGACCTAGCAAGCTCTTGCAACAAATCCACCCAAGACTTTTGAACCAAATGAAGGGCTTCCAAAATGCGGGGGACCCCCAAATCAGCCAGTTGAAATTGGGTTGCTCAATCATTACAACCCTCCGAAACTTGGCGCGGCCCCTTTCTTATCTTTCTTGGAAACCTCCAAATCTGCCCCACTCAACGTCCACGAAACCTCCATTGGACGGTGCTCGGTCCGTGCCGAGACGCGATGCAGGAGACCTCGGCGACACCCTGGGCGTGGCGCTTCGCCTGTAGCCACCTGGCGAGGAAGCAGCAACAGCGGGCGGAGGCTGTCTGCGGCAAAACATGGCGTCACCGGTGGTCACGAGAAGAACCGGTGGTCACCGGTGGTCATAAAGAAAATAGCAGACATTCCAAACAGGAGCAGCAGCAAGCTCAGTAGTTTGGCCTAAAGTTGCCACCCGTTTCGTCGCAAGTTCAGTAGATCTGCATTATCTTTCAGGGCAAATCGGCAAATGGCATAACATTGTGCCCATAATATGGAGCTGCCCAAAACACTCTACCGGATCTACCCGCCACCGACATGGCGTCCGCCACCCGCCACCGGCGGCCTATCTTTCCAGGTCTGCCACGCCGACTCCGAGACCACTGACGTGGCCTTCACCTCGAGGTCGCCCGCCATCGTTAGTAGGTTGGATCCTCCCTAAAGCGTTTCGAAGGTGAATCGAACGATGCCTTCCGAACGCCCGACGGCTCGAGCCGCGCCGTGTCTGACGGCGCCTGACTTGGCTCCCCGGCCGGCAGAAAGACGGGGCGCAGGTGAGTCCTTGCCAAGCCTGGCCCGTCCAGTCACCGTCGGTCCAGTCCAGGTCCTGAAAACCGAAAATGGAGTTGAGTAGCACCAGTATATGAGTAGATATGAGTATATAGTATTGAGCATGCTAGTGTTTTTGTATGACCAAGTACAGTAAAATGAGGTCAAACTGACTGGTAAGGTCATGCCGAGAAGTGAGACCTCCGAATCCAAGTCCATCTAGCCGAATCTAGCCGCTTGAATCCTGTAAAAGCGTGTCAAATGCATTTGATTTCCAGGACATTCCAACAAACATGCAAGCGGAAAGTGAGCCCATTGAAAGACGGTGTTCCTATTGTTTCTTGGAGAAATGGTAAATAAGAGATAATAAGAGTAGGTTGCTTTGCAGCAAATTCAACATCCTCCCTCGTACTGATCTGCAGATCTGCAACAAAGAGCAGCCACGGATGATGTGCACTGCAATTTGAGGACATCAAACACCCTCCAATCATGTGCATTTTTGCCAAATGCCTGCTCTTATGATGGGCTCTGCCCACCAAAGCCTTGTAGCCTTCCAAAAAAATCAGTGCCTGCTGCCATTGACTCCCTCTGTGGCAAGCACTGATGACAGCACTGTGGCTAACTAAGTCAGGTTGAACTTGGGACTTGGGCATGGTGTGAAACAGATTCAGGGCCAACTGCCAGCCTTGCCCCTTCTCAAAAGAGCTGATGGATGCATTGAAGCTGATGATGTCTGGCTGAATTTTTGCCGCGGGCATTGCTTCAAACAAACACAAAGCGGGCTGCCACTGCCCAGTCTTTTCACAGGAACTGATGGTGGCGTTGAAGCTAAAAACATTTGGCCGCACCGTCATCCTGGGCATCGCCCCCAACAAGCTGATTGCCTGTTGCCATGAGGCGCTCTTCTCACAAGCACTGATCGCTGAGCTACAGCTCACAACATCTGGAGGAATCTTCTCCTTTGTCATGACCTCAAGCAGGTTTACGGCCCGCTGCCATTGCCCACTTTTCTCACAGGAACTAATGAGCGCATTGAAGGCAACCACATTCATCCGAGTGGATAACTGCGACATGACCTCTAGCAAGCCCATTGCGTGCTGCCATCTCCCAACTCGAGCACAAGAGCTAATGGTTGTACTAAAACTCACGATGTCGGGCACAAGCTTTGCCTCAAACATGTCTGCAAACAAACGCAACGCTTGCTGCCATCTTCCCGTCTTCTCGTAGGAACTGATGGCTGCGCTGTAGCTTATCACATCTGGCTGCACTTGGGCTCCAAGCATGGTACTCAAAATGCTCAAAGCCCCTTGCCATTCTCCATCTTTTTCACAGGCACTGATGATGGTGTTGTAGGTCACCAAGTTTGCCGTCACCTTCATCTTCCACATGTCCTGCCAAATCTCAATTGCTTGTGGCCAAAGCCCGCCTCAAATCAGCAGAGTTCAGCCACGCGGACCTTCCTGGACCTGTTCCTTCCGCCCTCAAAATCAAACACGATCAAAGTCCTGCGCAAACGGAGAATGAAACACATGGACTATAGTGACTATAGTAGGATCTCAGGAAAGCACGAAAGGAGGCGATGGGGACATTAAACTGGTCATCATTTTGACCTTTATGAGAGCCATCTCTACCTTTGTACACAAGTCAAGTAGTGAGGCCCAGCCTGGAGCTGCTTCCAACAGATTTTGGACTTGGACTTTCAAGGGATTCATCTCCTCTTCAGAACTTTTGGATGCGACAAGGAGGGAGTCTTAAGACTGCGAAGTTCCACAGTACCAGTGTTTTCGTATGATTGCACTTCTGCCAGTGTTCTGTATGGGTGTGGTTGTTCTGCAACCCAGCGGCCTTCCCTACAGACCGCCAGCATCGCGTTCAGGGTCACGGTCTCCGGCACCAAGCGTCTTTCCAGGGCAGTGCTCAGGAGCGCCAAACTCCATGGCCAGTGGCGGTGGTCAAAGGCGTTCAGAGCGGTGTTGAAGCTGATGATCTCAGAAATGAAGAACATGTGAGTCATCATATCGTTCAGGCTCAGTGTATTTTTAGCAGGGTCATGTCCCTAAACTATAGGAATACCGTGGAATACCTTGCCAGTGTTTGTGGTGCAGGACAAAGCAAGTCCTTTTCTGGCATGTGTTTGTCTACTTGCGATCGTCGGCCCAAAGATCTTCTCCACAATTCTCCACATCAGGTCTTTTAACCAGGCAGCGTGGCCAAGACAAAGCAGGCAGTATCATGCAGATTTAAAAAGACATGGACAAATGGTGCTGGACAAGCAAAGTTCTATTCTGCCCAGGTGCACTGGGCTGGATGTTCTCTTTGGCCATGGCTGACAAAAGGCCTCGATTTGCTCAAGTTCGAAGGACAGACCGTTGATAGACGAAACATGATGAAACAGTCGACTCCCTGATACCGATACCCCAACAAGGTCGACTGGTTAATCTGGTTACTTATAGGCCTAGGTCTGGTCTAGAAGGTGAGGGCAGTGCAGGCCTTTGTCACCTACTTAGCCCTCAAGGCGAAAGTGTGTCCACAACAAGATCAGCAAATGACATTTGTGTGGTGTCATGTTCATGTGTGTCATGTGTGTCGAAAAACCACCAGCTTTTGACAGGTTTCACCTGTCACAGCAAGTCCATGCAAGTCCTCTGAAATTCAAAGCAGCAGGACATCAGCCCATGGTTTTGTCGGATTTGACTTGTTGAATACTCTGAAACAGGCAGTCTTGAGTCTTGAATTTCCAGGCATTGAATCTTTGGGAGATGTGCAGAGGTCGAACCCCCTTGTAGAGACAAACATATCTATAAGACACCAGGACAACCACCCGGAACCACATACAAACGACCGGAACCTGGAAGAAAGCACATCCTCAAATTCTCAGGTGGAACCAGCCCCAACTCCCAAATCTTACTCCCTCCAAGAAGCCTAAAGCCTGGCGCCACTGCTTCGGCTGCTTCCGCGCGCACGCGCGAATCGTCGCGTTGAAGCTGATCACGTCCCGGCGCACCGACATCTGAGGGACGTGGGGTGACGCTTGGACAACTGCGCGGTGATGGGTGTGCATAGCACGACCCATGCAATCCGCCCAAGACTCACTTTCCGGAGGAAAGGACCTCGACCCCTGGAATCGCAATCAGTTCGAACACAAAACCAGTCCTCGTATCATATCATATCATCATAGATCAACGGGGGTCCATCTCTGGGGATCGACCAATGGGGCCTCTCGCCTCGAAGAGCCTCTTCCGTCGGTCCGGGTGCGTCGCACGTCGCTTTCCGTCGCTCCGAGGTCGATGGGCCTGGTGCATCGTGGCGAAGATGTGTAGGGCGAAGACCCAGCGGTCGCAGGAGCTGATGGCAGCATTGCAGCTCACGTGGTCCGGTTGGAGCTCCAGCTGGGGCATCAGGTCCTGAATGAAGAGCCAAAGGCCGGATCCAAACAGGTCCAAAGCCCGGGCTGGGCTGAAGGGTCAACTGAGGTGAGTCCCCAAGAATTCTCCTGGCTGGGCTGCTAGGCTCACCGTAACGGAATGAGTCGAAGTGTTACAAAAGAACCCGCCTATCCAACCTGATTTGCTATGTTGCTTGCTTCCTTCAGGCCAACTGGCCAACCTTCAAGAACCAAAAACCGGGCCCATCAACTCCACATAGCTCCACCAAGACTCCAAAAGCCCCAGGACCTGCTGCCACTGGCTACAGCTCTTGCACGCCGCCATCGCCACATTCAACGTCACCAGCTGCTGACGCTTCGACCACGAAGCGTTCGGCGTTTCACTGGTTCGCTCCAAGGCCAGGTGCAAAGTCTGTTGCCAAAGGGACGACCTGACTGATGAACTGACAAGGTGGTGTTCTTGGCCTTCAAACAATCCTTTTCTACAACTGGATGAGGCTTTGCCAAGTGGTTTTCTACAACTGGAGCTGTTTGCCTGAAAATTGCTGGACATTGTGCAACTCCAAGCTCTGTGATTCAGTGAAGAATGTACCTGCGGCATGCTGCCACCAATCAAACCGTTTCATGCAAACGACTGGATCTCCAATTGAAGATCAAAGATTATATCGATGATGATCAGACCTGCTGACCGTGCCTGGACGAGTGGAGAATTCCGAAGGCCTCATCTTCCTTGTTCCATTGAGTCTTATCTGTTCGAAGTGGATTCCACGGGAAGATCACCACAGGCTCCTCATCTTGAGGTGTCCCGCTGGCACCTCTCGGGCTTAATTAAACTTGCCAAGGCAAATCGAATCGCACCGACTCAATTATTCTTTTCTTAAATATATTAGAACAAAATGAATTGACGGAATTGAATCACACCTTCTCACCCACCAACCTCTCAGCAGCTGCCGCACTCTTCGGCACAGCCCGCCCCGCAGTCCAGGAGAGGCCCAACATGGCCATGACATGCAACGTGTGCGGTCAGCAACACCTTGAGCCAACATCCGAAATGACACCAGTGGAGATATCCGTTTCTTCTTCCTCTTTATCACTGGAGACTGGAGAGACTTTGTACGTATGATGTTGCGTTCCGGCAAACAGATCTGGAGGATTTCTGAATGAGTTTTGGAAGTTGGACAAAGTGCTGAACAATGACTTTGTGTTCCTTCGTAAGAACCGCGAAAAGCATGGTCGAGGATAGTCCAATTTACTCTCATATGTACTTCCTGTGGATAACCAGCAAGCTGGAGATAGCTGGAAACTGAGTCTGGGAAGTGAAAACTTGTTTTTGCGTGTTCGGAACAATTCTGGATTCAGAAAGACAGGTGTGAAGACCTCATCGCTGTGAGGTGATCGTGTCCCCCCATTTTCCCACAGCGACCTTCCCTGCCTGGCTCTGCCAGTGGCAGGGAGCTGTTTCGGCGACGCCTTGGTGCCAAAGAATCTTCGCATTCGGCCCGCTAGGTGTCCATAGCATCGATCTGCTTGCCTTTTCAAAATCTCAATCAAAGGAAATCAAGGGAAAACCAATCAAGGGAAGGCCTACTTGGCTTGCAGACAACATAAAGAGAAACACACAAGTGCAAAAGATCTGTGTGTAAAGATCCTAGTCACGAATGATACAGATCGATCCGCTAAAGGTTCTTTCGAGGAAGGACACTAAGGACACGTGGCCCGCGGGGTCGGACCGCCCCGCTCCTCGCGCGCGCACAGGGTCGGATTCATCGCGGGATCCAAGCGCCGCACATCGCCTCTTTCATGACGCTGTAGAAGAAGCAGCGAATGTAGCAATGGTGATCCTCGGTGTAGCAATGAGCGGTCAAACAACCCACACAAACTTACTGAAATCGCCTCTGACTTTCCTTTACAGCCGACTCTCCAACTAGCTCCTAAGTCATCTTACATGGGGTGCACACAATGAGCCAGGGCAGCCAATAAACTAAACAAGTAAGATCGAGTAAGGAAAATTTAAGATTGCCAGCCATCCAAGTGATCTACCCATGTCCCGCCCATCGCATCCTCCAATGGTCTGAATGGCTGGCAAATAGGTAAATGTTTGTAAATGTTTAAATATGTTTAAATAGGTAAACTGAGGATGCTCTCAAAGCCTTGTAGACATGACAACACGACCATCCTAGGCTTGATTCCACCCAGCTCGGATGTGGCAACGATCCAACGGTTCCCAGCGGCCTCGGCAATGACGTCGCCCTCATGCGTCTCGGCCTCGGTGTCACGTCGACGCAATCGGTGCGTGTTGCAGATTCCAAGGAGCTGCCATCATGACCTGCACCTGTGCTGGAGATCCTCAAATGCAGCAAAGTTAGCAAAGTTACAAGGAATGATCTGAAATTTATTTCCAGGATTTCTGGGAAACCCTTCAGAGTCACTGGCCCCTTCGGAAAGGGAGGGCAGTCACTAGACAGGCTTAACTCCTCAATTGCATAGTCACATGGTCTAACATAGCGGGAGCGGCATGCAGTGATGGCCACGGCATCGTGATGATCATGCCACAAGAGAGTCTCACACTCCAAACCAACCCCCGATACCTTCGAAACATGTTGCTGGGAATACGGCTTCCACGGCAAGTCGCAACGGCAAAGAATAAGTGCTGAAGACCTGAAGTGGCGAAAATGACCTGTGAACTGAGAGATCAAACAAAGCAATGAATCTCTGAACGCAACCGGGTTCCTGCAACGCAAAGGTTCAATCCTTCGAGACGTGTCAAACTTGTCTGGTCAAACGAATCGAGAGGGTGCATGTTTGTTTGGGATGAACACAAATTAAATGAACCCCAGCCAGCGATCAAAGAAATGCGGAAACTGAGTTGCAGGTCTGGCTCCAGTAGCAAATCAACCTCTCAACATGTTTTGTCAGAAGAATAGAAAGCCATTCCGAATGAAACACAACAAACATGCAGAATCATGCAGGTCCATGTTGGCGGTTGGATGTTTTTGTTCCAAAACACCGCATCACGGTCGACTGATTGGCTGGGTGTCACACGATGTGGTCACTTCCAAGGCTAAGGCCGGCAACCTTGGCCATGCCGCAAAGCGAACGACAAAGGAGTCGGAGTTAGTCTCTCCATGCCCAGCAAACCTAAATACCGTACCTAGCAAACCTAAATACCGTGCCGTACCCAGTACCGCCTTGTATAACTTATGCTAAACATACAACTTCAAATCTCCACCAAAAACCAGCAACTGCCATTAACATCCATTAACTACCTTCTATGATCTGCTTCGTCTTTGGCGAAGTGTCCTGTCCATCTGCAGTGTCTCATCGTGCAGCCATCCCAAACAGGGAGAAACCGAAAAGCGCTTCGGCTCCGCATCGGCGCCACATCGGCTCCGCGCTGCCGAGCTACGCCGCCGAACTCATAGAGGGAAGCCACATACGCCCAAACCTTGAAACCAGCGCGACCAACGGGCTCAGAGTGGCCATGGTATGCGATGGCAACTGACGGCACCAATGCTTTGGAGGGTTGTTGCCAATATGAGTACAGTAGATTATTGCAGAAATACGGCAGTTTATGGTAAATATATAGGGTAGTACCAGTAGTAGGCCTAGTAGGCATGGATGAATTGCAGGTGATATGGTGAAAACATGCAAGACCTTGTTGTCTTCTTCCCATCCCTCAAATCCCAAGTGATTCGAATTTGTCACCTCAAGGGAGCTGTGAATCCAGCTCAGTCAACACCATGTTATATACAATTCAATGGATCCTTCCCCTGTCGCTGTGCTTCCCGATCTTTGGACCGAAATGCCCAATGCGCATGTCAGTATTACTTGTTTTTCTTCGTATGCCACTGGGTCATCCACACTCCTTGCAACCACCTCACGTCGTATCCTGGGTGTCCCCCACCCGAGAGCAGGCCGGCGATGCGAAGTAGTTGCGGAAGGGGAGCTGTGGCGCCTGCGGGACGCACGGAGGCTCCGGAGAGCGTGAAGACTCAAACGCGTGAAACAATTAACATGGGGGCTTGGGATCAATTCAAACTGAAAAGCATCTGCAAACAATGTGTTGGCCTTGTCAAACTTAATTTATATAACCTCTCATGATAGGCTTGAAATGGCTTGAAAACGTTCAAGGGGATCCTGACTGCCTTTTATGTTATGCCACTTGCGATCAGGATTTAACCGTTTTAACCTTTGGTTAGAGTCTGGGTCTTGTGGGGACAAGTTCATCACCTGTCAATCAGGACAAGGAGATGTTTTACATCTTGAGCAACCAATAGGAGATCATAGGTCATAGGAGCTTGTTTGGCCCAGAATTGCAAAAACCTGATGTCATCGGATGTCTTTACCGTCTTCCAATGGTGGCAAACCCCAAGGATCCTGACCCTGCCCAATGATTGTCTGCCAGAGTGATCCTGATCCTGCCCAATGATTGCCTGCCAAAGCGCCCACTCGTGCTGGTCGCCTGCCATAGATTGAAATGAAAAAAATTGGATTTTGAGATGATGTGGCAAGACTTATAGAGTTAGAGTTTTTTCATTTCTGTGCGGCAACCACATGATGGGTTTGCTTCTTGTCTGCTCTGTACCGAAAACCAAGAGATGCAGTCTACCCAGTCAGTTGCCGTGGTCCTCGCATCACTCGAGCCCCTGGCCAGCCTCCCTGCTTCCGGAGCTGGATGTAATCGTTGGCAACATGGCTGAAGTATCGCGGATGGAAAAGAACCTGCGTCCGGCGCATCTCTGTCAACTTTAGCTGCGAAAAATCTGTAAGACTGCCTCACCACCACAGGCCACTGCGTGTGGTCAAAGCATCTTTAAGCAGCTAGTGATCATGACTTCTAGAGCAGTGATGCATCCAATGCTGCCAAACCTACATAAGATTCTACAGCATCCATCCACGGTAGCATAACTGCAGTACTATATTTTGATATATTTTGTATATGCTAACTATACATAAATATATATATATATAGATACATTGTGCACAGCTTTGCGCCGCGCCCAGTGCCCACAAAAAAATAACGAAATTATTATCCACAAGTCCCTGCTGAAGCAAACACTCGGCTACAGTACCAACATTCAGTCAAGCTACATCAGCATCAGCCACAGTCAGCAAAAGCGAGGATGCATCTTTGCCCTCCTGGCCAGCGGCTGTTTGGACAACCGGCCCAGGCGCATCCCTTGTTTGAGGGCTATTGATGCCAACAAAGTCATGTCGTTTTGCTATGGCACAAACTGGAGTTATCAGCAACTCTTTGAATTCGACTGCTAGACTGTTAGAATTCGTTCATTGCCTCATCATGAAAGCGGCGTGATGCGCGTTGCCACTTGAGCTGCGAAACAAAGCACAGAACGGAATAAATATCATCGGGCTCAGCTGAGTGTTTTTTCCCCTTTGTGCGATGTTTTTCTCAACATATCAGTTGAGAACTCCACATTGGTGATTATCACTTGTTAAACATCTAATCCATATACCTGAGAAGGGGGGGACGAAAGCCAGCTGCCGCTTCATTACGTGGGTCCCTGTCTCCACTCAAGTCCTCTATGCCCATTGTCCAATTAGTCTCCAAAGCCCTTCATGATGCTAATGATGCACTACTCGGCGTCCATTACATCACTCACATCACCAGACCCCATTTTTGGGTTCACCCTGATTCACCCTATCAAAAGGTTCCGCTCGGCGACCACCCCACCCCCACACCCCCTTAACTCACTTCGTTCGCCCTATAAGCTCAAGCCTTGTCTATCGGCGGGCTTTCGTTATCAACCGATCCAAACACCCCCTTTAATCTTCTCTTTCTTATCAACTCTGTGCCTTTCTCACTGAGAGGCCTTGACTTTGGCACCTGCGTGCGTAGATCTTTGGGCCGTGGACCCAAGCTGACTGGATTTGGCCAGGGCTGCCAGCACAAAAGGCAACGTCATGAGTCAGTAGTGTATAGAATTGAACTATCTATCTATCTCGATCTATCTATCTATCTATCTATCTATCTCTATCTATCTCTATCTGTCTATCTATCTATCTATCTCTATCTATCACTCTATCTATCTATATATCTATCTGCGCCGGCAAGCCGGAAAAAACATTCAGTGCGCGTGGACGCCGCGAGAAGCATCCACTCGACCGAGGACATGGTGCAAGTATAGTATATACTAGTGGCAGTAGTCAACCCCACCGAAACTCAATCTCATGTCACTTTCGGTTCTCTATGGATTTGGCGAGTTGCGGGTTGTCCTGGGGACTCGCATCCTACGCGCGGCTGCGGTCTGCTCTGTATGTGGGTCCCTGTCTCCACTCGACTCCTCTATGCCCATTGCTCAAATAGCCTCCAAGGCCCTTCATGATGCTAATGATGCACTACTCGGCGTCCATTACACCACTCGCATCACCAGACCCCTTTTTGACTCGCTCTCCCCCAAGCTCTGGGTTCACCCTATCACAAGGTCCTGCTCAGCGACCACCGCACCCCCACACCCCCTCAACTCACTTCGTTCGCCCTGGCTTTCGTAATCCGCCGACCCCACTCGTGGGGTGAGGCGTGACTGTTGATTGATAGCCTTAGCCTTAGCCTTGGCCTTAGCCCTAGCCTTAGACCTCCTTAGCCTTAGACTTTGCCTTACCTCCCCTACCCCTCCGGAGCCTTGTTGCAGTGACGAAGATTTCGACAAAATTTCTCCAAGAATTGTCCAAGATTTGTCCATCCCAATTGATTTACATCTTGGGGCACCCTCTTCACCCGCGCGGGAAAATATGCACGGTCCAAAATGGTCCCGGGCTCGAATCCCGGGGTGGTCGCGGCGTGATCCCGGCCAATGCCCTTGATTTTTCCTAGATTTTGTCACGTTTTCTGTTGGATTTGTAGGAGTTTCAAAGGCTTTTCCAACATTTTCCTAGGAATGCTCTTGGCTTTGTCTAGATTTTGTCGCGTTTTCCGCTGGATTTGTAGGATTTTCAAAGGGTGTTCCAGCACTTCCTCCGGTTTATTCAAGTATCTGTAAAGGCCCCGTGTTGGTTTTTGGGTTCCCAGATTTGCCTAGAAAATTGCTAACCCATTTTATTCCATTGTTGCAAAGGTTTTGACAGGATGCCTTTTGTAAAGGCTCCGTGTTGTTTTGGGTTCCCAGATTTGCAAAGAAAATTGCTAACCCATTTTCTTCCATTGTTGTACTCATGCCTTTCATGTGTACAGGCTCCGTGTTGTGTTTTGGGCTCCTAGATTTGCAAAGAAAATTGCTAACCCATTTTCTTCCATTGTAGTACTCATGCCTTTTATGCGTTTACACCTGCGCCAGCTACTTCCACCTCCCATCCTTTCCGCTACATTTTCCCTCGGGGTCGGCGGCTGCAGGCGGTAGCCTGGTAGTCCTTGCCGGAGGCCTTCGGTGGTAACCGAAGGTTATAGACGGTCGCGCCGGCTGCCGCCGACCCTCGTCGCGAAAACGGGGGGACCCCCAGGTCACTTCCTGTCAACTGATGCCCCTGCAATTTACAGTGTATCGTGTGTGTGAGGTATAAAAAACACTGTGTTTTACAGGGTTTCGGGCCCCTCGGCAGCCGAGAATTTTATGTTGGTGATGTCAAAAAACGTAGGTTTTTAGAGGGCTTTTGCTTTGCGGGCAGGAAAAATCGTAAAAAGTTGTATCGGAAGATTTTTTTCAACATAAATCGGCTAACATATCCCCAACATAGGCCCAAGATAGCCAACATATCCCCAACATATGCTCAACATAGCCTCCAAGATGGCTCAACATAGGGCCAACATAGGCCAAGATGGGGCCAACATACGCCAACATAGGCCCAACCTAGGCCAACATAGGCCTCACGTGCCCAACATAGGATCAATATGGGCTCCAGATGTGCTCTTTGTAGCCAAAATATCCCCAACATCTGCTCAACATAGCCAACAAGATGGATCCACGCAGGGCCAACATAGGTCAACATGGGGCTAACCTACGCCAACGTCGGTCTAACATAGGCACAACATAGGGTTCGTATGGGCTGAAGATGTGCCCAACATAGACTACACGGGGCCAACTTGGCCCAACCTAGGGCGAAGATGTGCACCGTGCACCACATAGTTTCATTTTGCTCAATATAGGTCCCACCAAGGCCAACAGACAGAGACAGAGACAGAGAACACAGAGACAGAGAATGAGCGAGAGCGAGACAGAGACAGAGACCGACCGAGACCGAGACGGAGAAAGAGACAACACAGAGAGGCGACCCAACCTGGCTGTAAGATTTTCATACGTAGTCGACGCTGGGGCACTAGCACGCGAGCAGAGGGAGGAGCGAGATGGTGGACGAGTTTTCGGTTGCAACGGCTCTCCCGACTTTCGGCTTCTTTTCAGAGAAGCCAGGGCAGTCAGCCTCCTCCAGTTTGGAGGACGCTGCTGGGATGCCCCGTGTCCCAGCCCCCGCGCAAACCTCTGCGCTGGCACGCTTTGTTTGTCGTTGTTTGTCTGTCTGTGGTTTACTGCGTCTTACTACAACCTGTGTCGTTTGTCGTTGTTTGTCTGTCTGTGGTTTACTGCGTCTTACTACGAAATGTGTCGCACATGCTACGAAAATACGAAAGCGCACACCGCAAGACAGTTGCACTCCACATACACAAGAACACAAGACGGCAGGGATGCCCCATGTCCCAGGCCCCGCGTAAACCTCTGTTCTGGCACGCTTGGTTTGTAATTGTTTGTCTGTTTGTGGTTTACTGCGTCTTGGCGCGAAATGTGTCGCGCATGCAAGAAAGACACGAAAGCGCACATCACAAGACAGCTGCATTCCACATTCACATGAAAAAGCACAAGGAAAAGCACATTCGCTCCTTTTTTCTTTCCTCTCGGAGTCGTTCAGCCGTTGCTGTCGAAGTGGGGTAGCCTGAAACAGGATCGAGCTCTGGTTTTGTTTTGGCGATACGAAATAGGCTGGGACGAAAGTCTCACTGTCGCCAGATACCTGCGAGCTGTGGAGTGTCTCCACAGAGATTTGTGAGTCATTACACGGAGGGTCAGTCGCTGACATGAGCGACGCTCTCGCCACTGGCGAAGCTGAGCTCCGTGTTGATGGTTGTGGTGTGCTTCGGTCCTCGGGGGGGGGTGCCTGTGGCGCCGGCAACGGAGGTTGAGCAGCCCCCAGCAGCTGTTGGACTACTTCTAAGACGGCTCTGGCACCCTGTGCGCGAAAAGCTTCAACTAAAGGCGTGCTTGGGAAGGGGTCGCCGATGTTCTGGCTACGTTCCACCAAGTCGTAGTGGCCGGTGACACCCATGTCTCGATGTACGAGCTCCAACATGGGGCTATGGTGTTGCAACTTTGCATGCGCTTCCTGGTCGGTGAGGCACTCCATATAGACCGAACCCAGTAATTCACATTCGCTTGGGCACCCCAAATGAGACACTCAAAATCGAACTGTTTGGGTCAAAGCCCACAACTCCACACCGGCAGAAGCGTGGTGGATCGAGTCTAACATGTCCGGCTGGAGCAACACTGCATGGAGCTTACTGAGTAAGACTACTTCAGTCGTGTTCGAGGGCGCAGTCTTGACGGCCGTCGGCTGTTGTCGACGGAAGTGCTCATGCAGCTGCAATTCGTCGTCGTCGAACGGGACACACGCCGTTGCGACTGCGTCTGCGCGCGGCCCGTGCTGGGCCGCCAACAACCACTCAATGGCTTGCAAATAGATTTCGGCGGCTGTGCCGTGGCCCGAGTGTGTGCTGCCTTTGAAGTACCGGCTCACGGCGTAGAAGAAGCACCAACCGTCTCCCGGCATGTGCACAACATTCGACCGAATTCGCGCTTGCAGCGTCTCGGCGGCTTCATGATTGCCGTTCACGGCATGCTGCTCTCGATTTCGGACCTTTCGAGGTAGGTACCATCTCGGCGCCGTCTGGGCTTGGGGACACCCTTTTCGCACGTCTCGCCGGGTTTGCAGGCGGAAGCCATACACCCGCAGAGATCAACACAACACACGACGTCCAGTTGCTCGGCACAGCGAAAACTAAGTTCCCACTTCTGCCCGCCACTGACCTCCGTGCTCACGGTGTAGAACAGACACCCGCCCTCGCCCGGCACGAGCAGGAAGTAGGCCCGCATTTCGCTCTGCCGCACCACCTTGCCCTTCGCAGTGCGCGGCTTTCGCCTGCGTCGCCCTCTTGCTGGCTCCCCTCGGGCGTTGCCTAAGCGTGCCGCTTGATAGCCCACTGGGGTCACCGAGGAGCCGCGACATCCGCAGACCAACAACCAAATCCAGCCACACATTTGCAGCGCTGCGCGCAACCTTCTCCGGGCCTTCTGTCGGCGATGTCCTTTGCAGCGCCGACCGCCTGCGGAGCGACTCTTCTGGATCCAGCCTTGCTTGCACGAAGTAGCTCGGAGTGCACGTCGTGCTTGCAGGCTGAAGACACAACCGCAGAGGTTGATGCAAAAGAATGGGTCCAGGTGTCTTGCAGAACTACACAAGATAGCACAGCTGCTAGCTAGAAGCCAAGTGCACAGGAACCAGCGACTGGGTAGAGTCCGAGTCCAATGTGTATGCGTCGACATCAGGCGCTGGCGCCGCTCACTTTGGAACGACGCAACACAGAAAATCACTCGAAAGAAACAGTCTCCAGATTCTTTTGCATCTGCTTCTTACGACTGGGTTGTAGCACCATGTACCTACTCCAACCTCTGTATGGTGTCTGTCTTCTCCCGTTACCACTGCTTAGAGTGCGATGCCATGTGTCTCGTGTATATGCGTGCGCTGGCTAGAGCCGTGTGCACAAACTCACATTCTCCACTTCTGCTCCACACGCACGTCCGCCGGACACTGCGCGCGTGACCACACAGCTGCAAGCGCGCGCGCGCACCACGCACGCACCCGACCCGGCGCCGAAAAGACTAGCGACCACGAGCGGACGAGGAACAGACACGTAACATCCATCCCAGCGACAACGAGCGGACGAGGCACAAACGTGTCACCTCCATCCCCGGCACGCATCCGTTTTAGTCGGTCTGCGCGTTTCTCTGCGCTGGCCTTGGTTTTGGCACGCCGGCGGTGCTGCGTTTGCTTTGGGTGCAGGTGACTGACACCAGTAACTTCTGCAGACATGAGTTTGACGTAGAACTATAATATATATATATATGTGTGTGTTGCCTAAGGGGATTCCACCGGGTGAGGTCGATCTGCTTTGCACTCCAGTTTTCAGAGTGGAGAGAGTTCTCCTTGTTTGCTACGAAGCTGTGACTCACTCGGTGCATCGCGCGCACCATGGCTGAGACCAACAGGAAAAAAAAGGTCGCGTGTGCTTGGTTGCTCTTGCTCTCCTACGCTAGCGGTCTCCTAGCTTCGTCCTCTGACTCTCAGAGTTCGACGCTGCTTGCTTCTGGTGTCTTGGCGTTGGGGGCTTTGTTGCTCTGCCTTGCACGTGCTCCTGCCCTGCTCACACGCCCCCCTGCTGAAACCGAACACAAAAAGCAAAAAAAGGTCCGGTGTGCTTGGTTGCTGTTGCTCTCTAACCCTAGCAGTCTCCTAGCTTCTCTTGCGCTCTACTCTTTGCCGTCCTATCACTCTGGGAGTTCAGCGCTGGTTGCTTCTGGTGTCTTTGGGTTGGAGGCTGTTTCTGGCTTGCACATGCTCTTGCTCTGTTCACAGGCCCGCCTGTTGTTGAGCCCACGTCTCGCCAGTCTCTCTATCTGTCCCCTTTCCGGTGTCGACTGTTTGTCCCCTTTCCGGCGTCGACTGTTTCTTGCTAACTACTCTCTGTGGCATGCTGTCTAAGTCCTTTGCCACCCTGCGTCTCCAACTTGCGGCGTCGACGCCTCGACCCCCAACCTCTCCACCCCCGCCGGCCTCGCTGGCGCATCAACTTGCAGACAATGTCCTTGAGGGTGAAATGACGTCTGCCTCTCCTCACCAGGGCTGTGGCTGGCTGGCATGAGCGACGCTCTTGTTGCCAGCTGACAGCTGCCGCCTCCCAGCATGCATCGCGCTCCACGTGCCTCCTCTCTCTCCGACGGCTCTCCCGACTTTTGGTTGCTGCAAGCAACCAGGGCAGTCAGCCCCCGTCCCGCGGACGGGTGCTGCCGGGTGCCCCAAACCCCGGCCCCCGTCTTCTCCATGGAAGACTCCGTGGAAACATGGCGGGTCCCTGACCGACACCACACCCCGCCAACACCGCGAGCGACACCTACCGTCACCTCGACCCACACCTCTCTTACCCAAGTGCGCCGGCGCCCGGCTGTCAGGCGTAAGCCTTTAAATCCGGGCGACGGCCACGAAGCCCGTGCCCTGCCCGGAGGGCCTTCGGTGGTATAACCGAAGGTTACCGAAGGTTATAGACGGTCGCCCCCCCTGCCGCCGACCCTCGCCACGAAAAACGGGCGGACCCCCTCGTCACTTCCTGTTCACTGAAGTCGCTGTAATTTACAGTGTATCGTGTGTGTGTGAGGTATAAAAACACTGTGTTTTACAGGGTTTATTGCGCATATCGAAGTACGACGCGGGGAAAAGGAAAAAATGCAAAAAGCTGTGTTTTTCAAGGGCGGTGTCGGTAATGCGCGCCGGGCGGACAGGCTTAATCGACATTTTGTGGGTAGAGGCCCTCCAGACGACTTACATTGCCTAACATATCCTCAACATAGGCCCAAGATAGCCAACATATCCCCAACATATGCCCAACATAGCCTCCAAGATGGCTCAACATAGGGCCAACATAGGCCAACATGGGGCCAACATAGGCCCAACATAGGCCCAACCTGGGCAAACATAGGCCTAACATAGGCCAACATAGGCTCAACATAGGCTCAACATGGGCCCAAGATGTGCCCAACATAGATCACATGGGCCCCACTTGGCCCAACCTAGGGCCAAGATGCGCACCAGATAGCTTAACTTTGCTCAATATAGGGCCCCCGTCTCCGACGCGGACCAGTTTCCGGCACCACCCAGGGCCCAGTACGCCCCCGATAGCTTAACGTGCACCCGACCCAGCCCTACACAGACCCAAGTGGGCCGGCGCCCGGCTGTTAGGCGTAAGCCTTTAACTAACCGGCCTCACTTCTGTGAGACAATAATTCAACGGGCAAAAAACTTGAACGCCAAGCTGACAAGGGCAACATCTTTGACTAGGTCTGGCATTCGCTGCGCAGGCTGCGCAGCTTTAAACATGTTCAGGAAAATATCCCGTTGAATTCCCAACATCTTGCTCATCGCCTTCGCCGTCTCCTTCTCTCTGCCCTTGAAAGCTTCTCTCATCTGAGCTTGCATCGCTTCCTTGTCCCTCAACAAGTCGGAGAGCTTCTGTTCAAGCTGCGTCACTTGCTCTTCATACCCGTCAGCCTGGACCTGTTTCACTTCTTCGCCCTTGATCTCCACGCCAGGTGTCATATCTATGAAGTCAACACAATCCTTGGGCAAAGGCTTCACCACATCGTCTGCTCCTTCCAGCTCATCGTCGCGCGGCAAAAAGTGGACATGGGGAGTTGCCTTTTCGGGCATGGTACACCAAATACTGCCAAGCACTTCTTGCGCCACATCTGGTAGTGACTGAAGATCTTTGAATTCGCGGGGAGGGAGCTGGTTTGTGATCAGGCCATAGTCGGTGCCGTTAATGGGCGCTGCCTTGAGAACTGATGACATTGTAGCAATATCCTCGGCCCGCACACGGCCATTCTGAAGCACCACTACAAAGAAGATCTTGTACGTGCCTTCTTGCTTGAGCGCTTCAGTGATAGCATCTGCTGCCTTCTGACGCATAGTGACATCCTGGACATTGAAGGCTTAACTGTTGATTACTGTTAAACAAACCAGCACAGCAAATCCCACTCATTTGTGGTCTCTTGAAATTGTGGTGGTCTCAGAAAACTGGTCCCAAATTATGCCCTAAAGCAAATCCAGGCGTCTGAAAGGCCCGGGGTGTCCATATACCGAATTCCTCCTTCTTCTACCTTGTCAAACTGGTAGGTGAGGCCACTGCCGTAGGACACGCCGGATCTGAAAGCCGGTTTGCCGATCAAGCCGTTCAGGATAGTGCTCTTGCCAGTGCCGGGGTTTCCGATCAGCAAGACATTCGAAGTGCTTACTAAGCACAAATCCATAGACGCCCAAGCAGCAAGCAAGGCCAACAGCACCTGGGAGTGGCTCTGAAAATCGATACAGTATGTTGCCAGGTGAGCTTGATTGGCAGTAAAAGGATATCTTGGCCGATTAGAGCAGGATAACTAATGAAAACGCACAAAAAGTTAGCTTACTTCGAGTGATCCCCGCCATAACATTTCAATCATTTGTCTTGATGCCAGAGTGAGGAGCATGTTGCCATGGTCGTGAGTATTGTAGTTCTCGATTTTGCGTGTAGGTCCTCGGGTTGTGTGCTGTGGTTGTGTGCTGTGTTTGTGGTTGTGTGCTGTGTTGTGTGTTTGCGGTTGTGTGTTTGTGGTTTTGTGTTTGTGGTTTTGTGTTTGTGGTTTTGTGTTTGTGGTTGTGTGTTTGTGGTTGTGTTTGTGGTTGTGTGTTTGTGGTTGTGTTTGTGGTTGTGTGTTTGTGGTTGTGTGCTTGTGGTTGTGTGTTTGTGGTTGTG